AATTATTTAGCATTGGACTTTTCTCAACTCATTTTTAAAAGAATGCCTTTAAAAATTGCCTCTGATATATAAGGAATGAGAATGAAACTGTCATCATTTAGAAATATAAATAAATATAAATCTTTAATCAATAAAAAGTTATTAGTTTACTTAAAAATTAGGTATATTAATATATATACCAAATATGATGATACATCGCTTTTCTGACGGCGGGAAACAACATCTTGCTCTTCAAGCCAATCGCTTCGGTATTTTGTGATAGATATGTTTGTTGTGTAACATTTTTTTATTATTACTGTTTAAGTGAATAGATTGTAGAAAAAATGTTTATATTTTATAGGTTTGATTGTGTGCTATTTATGTTTATTAACTTGCAAAATGAGTGAAAGTTAAAAAATTTAGAAAATACTCTGTTTAAACTTGAACTTCATACCTAATTCATTTTTCTGAAATCTTTACGAGTATTTATGATAAAATGAAGACCAAAGAATAGGGGTGTTCAAAAAAATAAAATTTCAAAAACGCGAATACACAACAAACTAAATTTAGGGCAAATATAAAAAAAATTAGATTACAAAAAAAAAAAAATCAAAAAAATTGAGATTTACCTTGTGCTCAAGGTTCATTTCACCCCCAAAAATGCCCAAAATAGTACCCAAGTAACAAGGCTTTGAGCACAAAATAAATCTTAATTTTTTTTTTTTTCAATGTGCTCATAATAGTCTATCCTTTTTTTTTAATTGATATGTATCCGTGGTTTTTCTTAATTGTTCTTTAAATTGAAAACAATTTTATGAAAAAAACCCGAAAATAAGCGTATTAAACAAAAAATTGCGCTATAATTCTACGTTTTATAATTATTTGATTTGTTTATAATCACATTGTTTGGTTTTTATTTTATTTATTTTCGTTTTTTAATTTATTTTTATATAAATTAAAATAAATTTTTTGTTATAGAAAAACATTTTTTTATATGTTGATTAAGTTGATTAGGTTTAGGTTTATTCATTCATGGTCAAAAATAAACTTAAAATTTTTTTTTTGAGAAAGAGCGGCACACCAGGCCTCTCTGTTATGAAAATACAGTTTTTCAATTTTCAGCTTAGTGAAGAAGCCGTAGCAGAGAAAGTTCGTGTTTAAAATTGTTCAAGTTCTTTGCGTCCACCGCATTTTGGGTTAAAGAATTCCATAATCTTACAATATGGTTGGTGAAGAAGTTGCTTCTTTCAGCGCAGTTTCAGACAAGTTGTGCTTTTAGTTCTTTATTGTGTCCACGCGGCCAAAAACTGTACTTTGAATATTCCGTGTTAGGATGAAGTTGAGGGACGTGAAAGTTAACTATATCAATTTTGGTCATGATTTTACATTGTTCGATAAGGTCTCCTTTTTCTCGTCGTTCAGTTAGTGTTGTCAGGTTAAGGCTTGATAGTCTTTGAGCATACGAAAGGTGTTTAAGGGAGGCAATATGTTTTGTGGCTCGGTGTTGAACTTGCTCAAGTTTGGCAATGTCTTGAGCTAAAAACGGTGACCAGTACAGGCCGTAAAAACGGCCTGTACTGCGAATTATAGGTGTGGGCAAACGTGCCGTGCCGTAAGCAGCCGTGGCGCAGTGGTAGCGCACTTGCCTCAGGAACGTAAGATCCGCGGTTCAAACCACCTCTGGGCAAGTTTTGCGACATCGGTTAGGAAGGAGGCGTGAACTTCCTATTAAATGCTCTTCCGCGGTGCTCTGTGATAAGACCGTAAGGACTTCTTGGGGCACCTAAATCAACATAAAACGTACGAAATATACAGTGTGCGCCATAATGCAGAATCTCGACCTCGAAAAGCCTTCTTGAGCCTGCCAAGCATTCGGTTGCCAGCTGATGCAGTCGCACAGACTTGTTTTTTAACTTTTAGATCGCTTGTTATAAAAAAGGTTTCATTCAGATGACGTGCATGATAGCTGATGCAGTTGGTCGTCCAGGTTAATCATTGTATAAACTGCAGTCAATTTTTTTTGTTGCTGCGCATAACTTTGCACTTTTCGACATTAAATGACATGAGCCATGTGTGCGACCACTTCACTGCTTCGTTGATATCAGCTTGGAGTTTTATGATGTCATGGTTTGATTCTATAGTTCCGATTATTTTACAGTCATCTGCATACATTTTAAAGTGGTGTTGTATTTTGTCTGGCAAATTGTTAATGTAGATAAGGAACAGGAGTGGTCTAGGAGTCTAAGAAAGAGGAATGGTCGGGTGATTAATTGATACATGATTAATGAACTTAATTTACTTGAAACTTGTATCTTTTAAAAATATGTTTTAAATATAAATTCTAAAGTTCAAGCTATCTTCTGAATTTCGGAGTGTATGCTAAGTATTCCTTTCGCGATTTTTTTTTTGCCTAAAACTTTGTTTGTTTTTTTACTTGCTTAATAAAGATTCACTGCCTGATACCTTGAAAATTGACTCACTTTGTCAAATAATAATATTTGTTTTTCTTCCTCATCTTGTACCGGTGAACAAATTGTTGCATCATTCCAATTGCTCTCTCAGCGTGATTGTTTACACAAAAAATACTTTTTGCAAAGTTTAAAAATTATTTATATGTTGATTGCGTGTGCCAATACTGAGGTGGCAAAGTCAGCTAATCATAAGTTCGTTGATCTTTAATTCTAATTATATCAAATATTAACCAGGAGAACTCATCAACCAAAGAAGCTAAGCTAGGAATTTTCTGATGAGTGCTTAGTTCAATTGTCAACAATTTTTGTATATCTTTTTTTTGCTTGTTTTTAGTTTTAAAGTAGCATGACTTAGGTTTTAGAACTGATAACATTGCAGCAGCAATTTTTTCCTTTTCTTCGAGTGCAACATTGTCATCGAGCAAGGCTAAAGAAATCAGTGTTGAGTCTAGATACCATGTGTGTTTAATAAAAGAATTCAACACAGCATCAACAGCAAAAGTTTCTGCACATACTGCTTTATACTGATACATTTGATGAATAGCAGTTTCATCCATAAAAGGAGCTTTGATTGTATCATTTGATTGCAGGTACCACTTTTCATAAAAACAAGCTATAAATTCAGTTATTACCTTAATATGTTTTCTTTTTTTTTCAATAAAATCAATTTGAATTGAAAGAATTTGCATTATTAAATAGTATATAGATTTCCCTAGAAGTCTTGCATGATGAATCGCTCCTGTTTTTTGAATTTTAATGATAGTAGGAGAAAGATAGCTGACCACTAACTCTGCTAGTTCTTTTCTGTCTTCCCTAATATTATTATAGATGGATTTATCTTTCTTGTATTCTCCAAAATCTAAAGAACATGCATTATAAAATAAAAATGAATGAATCCAAAATAAAAACCAATGAAAAATTGGCGAAGAGTGAGCAATGAGATGAGAGTTTTTAAATTCAGAAAGAAAGGCTTATAATATGGATTACCTTCTCGCTATATTCCTTGTCTTCAGGCTCTAGAAATAACTTTCTGCTGAGTTCTCGATCGTATAAAAATCTAGGTCCTCTTTATTATCTAGGTCTGATCTATTTTTGTCCTTCTTTATCCAGTTTTGTAAGTCAGCTTTTCCTGCCCAAAAGATTTTTCCCAGCTTTTTTCTAAAGTCTTGTTGCTTTTTTAACTCTAAAGGCGACCTCCTTTGCATGTTTTTTTTCCAACTTCAAATATTTTTTGTTCAACTTATTCAGCTTTTGCATCAAGTTATTATCTAATTGAAGAAGGAATCCAGCTTTAAGCCAGGGACCCTTTATTTTGCTTAGAATACACTTACAATGCAGTTCAACACACCTCTCATAATTTCTGACTTTTTTTTACAGCGCATGCAAGTATAATTGACTTTTTTGATGTTTTAGAAAACATCGACTGATTAAAAGCTCTGTGTTGTAAAATATCTGTTCCAGTCGGCGATTGATCAACTAAAGTTAATAACACAAAGGTTCACGTTAAGTTTAATCTTGTACAACCTGAAATCTTATTAATCTATAATCTTAAATATAGTCCTAAACTAAATATTTAAAAATTAAAAAAAGTCTCAAAACAAATTCGTTACTTGGTATTGCTAGTTTCTTTTTCTCAATAATAAAATGTTTTTATATTTTGTTTTTCATTCTCACTTTTTAATAGTTTTCTACTTTTATTTGCACTTGAAAGCATTTTTTATGACTCTCCATTGTTTTCTATTAAATTTTCCATTATAATTTTAAAAACAATTTTAAAAGAAATTACTTTCACTAATTTAAAAATATCAGATAAACTAAAATGTTTACTGCAGAGTTTCGCAATATACATTTATGTTAATTTATAATTAGCATTTTTTTTTCTTTTTACAACTTTTAAACAGGTAACAAAACTTTTTTATCAAGCGATAACAAAAGAAAAATGCAAACAAAATAAACAAATCAAATAACAAAAGATACCTTAATAATTAATAAAACAAAAAAACAAGGCGATTTGTTTTTTTTTTTTTGTTTTTTTGAGTTTATTTTTGACTTTTTTTTGACTTTTGACTTTTTTATTTTTGACTTTTTTATTTTTGACTTTTATTTTTGACTTTTTTTGTTAACGTTATTTGTTATGCGTTAAAAAAAATATTTTTTGAGTATTTTTTTCATAAAGTTGTTTTCAATTTAAAGAACGATTAAGAAAAATTACGGGTACACATCAATTTAAAAAAAAAGTATAGACTATTATGAGCACATCAATAAAAAAAATAAAAAATTAAGATTTACCTTGTGCTCAAAGCCTTGTTACTTGGGTACTATTTCGGGCATTTTTGGGGGTGTTTTGACCCTTGGGCACAAGGTAAATCTCAATTTTTTTGATTTTTTTTTTTAATCTAATTTTTTTTATACTTGCCCCAAATTTAGCTTGTTGTGTATTCGCGTTTTCGAAATTATTACAATGTAATTTATTTTAATTATAATAACTAAATGTATTATTTGATTGTATTATTAAATCAAATATTGGAACCATAAAACCTTATAAATTACCTTTTTTACTAAAACAAACTGCCAATAAAAGAATAAGTAACTTCATTCTTGTATTTGGTCGATTATAATACAAAATACAATTTATGTTATACAGCTTTTAAATGCGACCATTTGAATACAACTTCAAGTGCAGTTTCGAGTATAGTTTCCAATAAAAATTGGTGAATTTTTCCATGTATAGCTTTGAGTATAGTTTCGTGTATGGTTTGAGTATAAATGATGAAGTACTTGAATAAAGTAATTTAACAAAAAAAAAATGTTTTATTAAATCCCTTCATCTTCATTTTTATTTATGAAAAACTTAATTCCAGAATGTTGAATATTGTATTCTTTTTAGTATCAACTGTGTGTTGAGTGACCAGATATTCCGGTATCCAATTTTAAGTGAGCATTCCCGGGGTCTGTATATTATCAGGTCCCTAAGACCCAAGCCCGGTTAAAAAAAAAACACTTTTTTCTGCAGGTTATATGAAAAAAAAAATATTATTTTTCTTCGGGTATGAAGTTTTTAATAAAAAGTTGTCAGTGGTTTTGTTGGTAAAAGAGTACCCATATAATACCATGTTTGCAGAGCTATTTCAGTAGAAATGGCCAAATAAAGTGCCAACTTTCCATCTACTAATTCAGAAACTTAAACTAACTATTCCCCACTCACTTTTTTAAGACTACGTTTACTTAAAACTGGTTACAAATAGGGTTTTAAAAAAAGGCAGATTTTATGGTGAAAAAATATAACTAATGAGGATTTAGGAAGCAGAAAATCCACAAAAGAGTTCTAGAAGCTTCTGGTATAAGAATAAATTAACTGTAAAATAGCGGTAGTGATGCTTCATTGATGGGAAGCTGTGCATATCGATCTTTGCAAAATGCAGCCATTTTTTTGGAACTTTGTCAAATGCCTTTCTCGATGATCAATAGTATTTTTTTTTTTTTGTACTTTAGATTATATCAGCCTTTGAAAAAGCTAACAAATGGTTGAACATACATTTCAATTATTTCAAGAAAATTATCATTTCAGGCATCAAGTAATTATGATGCCAATACCAATTTGAATGTACTTATTATTACACTCTTCATAACTCTTGAGTTATGAAGAGCCTGCTGAGTTTGTTAAAAGATATCGTTTTGTAATTGATAGGTTACCTGTCCATATCAAAACTATCAGTCGATGTAGCGGTGCACTTTGTATGTTCTACCTATTTATCAGTCGATGTATGTACACTCCTTCTATGTTCTACCTATTTGTCAGTCGATTCATGAAAAGTGAAGGATTAAGGTTTTATTTATATTATAATATGTATGTATAAAGCATTTATTTTATAAACAACTATTATTTTGATGTATAGTTTATTTTATTCGCAGTAAAAAGTACGACAAGATATTAATGAGTTAGAGAATGTGTAAAAAAGAGTAACAACGTTAGTTCCACAACTTAAAAACGAATCACAATAGACTAAAAGCAATGGGTTTAACAACATTGGCCAAAAAACGAGCAAAAGGAGATCTCTTTCAACAATACAGGTTTAAACACAACATAGACCAAATAAATTGGTACAAAAATCTACAATTGCACCATCTTTAACTTGTTCAGACTCGGGGTAAGTTGAAACATAAAATAAATGCGGATTTTATTGATTTTACGCACTTTTCTAGTTACTTCTAAAGTAATCAACTAATATTTGTACAAAATTTAATTTCAAATGTAATTAATTCTTTTATTTCTTTAATTCTTGTTTGTTCTTTAATGGATGATTATTTTGTATTGTACGTATACTCTTTATATTATGGTTTTGTCTATATATATTTATATTGTCTATATATATTTATATATTATGTATTGTCTTATATATATTTAAATTAATTATTAAATTGAAAATTAAAATAGTAGCTTTTCATGAAAAAATAAATACCCAATTTATGACAAATTTCAGAAATTTTCGCTTTTGATTTTTATTCCTTACTATTCAAAAATATTGATGAAAAACTTGTGAAAAATAAATGGAAATCATTACCTACAATTTTTAACTAAAATATTTAGTTTTGGTTTGATATGTAACTTTGTTTTTTTTTTTTTTTTTTTTTTAATGGGGGAGGGGGGGGGGATAGAAGGGAGATGCGTTCCTTTTGACCCCTCTCCCTCGCTGGAGCCCATTTAAATATATATATATATATAATATATATATATATATATATATATATATATATATATATATATATATATATATATATATATATATGTATATATATATATATATATATATATATATATATATATATATGTATATATATATATGTATATATATATATATATATATATGTATATATATATATATGTATATATATATATATATGTATATATATATATATGTATATATATATATGTATATATATATATATATATATATATATATATATATATATATATATATATATATATATATATATATATATATATATATATATATGTATATATATATATATGCATATACATTGCATATACGATATCTGAACAACATAACATTTAAATCAAAAACTGTTTTCAGATTTGGATTCCGCATTTTCGATTTCGTATAATAACATCAAAATTTTAATTTTGGCCAAAAATCAAGTTTTTCAGACCACTGCACAGTGGGACATAGTGTGCCAAAATACAAAAAAATCACTATCGGCATTGTTTTCTGAAAGTATCTCTTAATGGTGAATATATGTTTATTAGAGGAAATATATAGTTAAAAAAACATTAAATATTAATTTAAACGTTGTTTTATGCGGTTATATTAGAGGGGGGGGGTAGTCCAAAATTCTATATTTCTTGTTTAACCAGTTATTCTTAATAATTTTTTGAGAAAAGTTCAAAAAACAATTCATTTTTTGCTAATTTTATATGGTTGACCTTCTGCTTCTATTTTTAAAATTTAAAGATATAAAAAATAAAAGTCTTTACAAAAGTTTCTTTGCGTATAAAGTTACGCAACTTTTCTTTCAAATTTATGGTATTCAAATTTTGATTGGATAAATTTGATTTTTAATCGTTGCGTTTTAGAAAAAAAAAGTTTAATCTGAAGTCTCTTTCTAAACAAAACGTTTTAAGTAATCAAAAAGACAGATTGCTTCAAAATATCTTAATTTCCTTTTTTTTTATTTATTTTTAATCGTTATTCAAGCTATCAAGAAGGCTATTCAAGATTTCATTTTTTTTCACTTTTCTTTAATGAAGTCAAGAATAAATCTTCTTTTAAAGTGCCAGTCAGTAGAAGTTCAGTTAAATTCTAAAGTTTTAACAATTCTAAAGATAAACAGGCTAAAGGAACACTGCTACCTAAAAGGCTTTATAAAAAACAAACTGGGTGATCAAATTTTGAAATTTTCTGCTTTACTCTAAAACGCAGTGAATAGCTAGTTAAAAAAAATTCTAGAAGCAGTTTATAAGTATACCTCAAAGAGGTTGAATGGTTGTATCATTCTTGCTAGAGTATTTTGGCAAAAGTTAGCCTCAGGACTTCAAAAAAGAGAAAAGTATTATGTGTTTGGTTGATGATGGAATATGATTAGTATTAACTTTCTAAGTTGTTGCAGTTAGAAAGCTTTGAAAAAAACCCATTTAATTTCAAGAGATGTATACTTAATTATTTAAACTATATAAAAAATGATGGTTCGCGCAGTTTAAAAATATTTTGGAAAATTATTGTTTAGTTATTTGTCCAAAAAGTTGATACTATGGAATATAATTGAAACCAGCTACAAAAACAAATGGATAACAATGGAAGAGGAGCAAACGTTACATCAGGTATGCAAGATGAGTTCTGTTTTAGCTTGATTAAAGTTATAAGGAAGCCCATTTAGCTGTGATCTAGACATTATTGAAGTAGATAAAGATATGTTAAAATAAAAAAAAAGTTCGAAAAATGAGGTTCTTTATTTTAGGGATACAATGTACGTCATTATCGCGGAGGTCTATTCTGTTTAAATACATGATTGTTGATATAAAAATACAAACCTCCATTTTATGTCTACCAAAAAACTCACTCATAATCCAGATGTTCTATAAGGAAAGTTCACGCAGCAATCTCTATCACATATGATGACTTTTATAGTTATTTTCTATTTTCAATAGTAAATAACAAACTGTATGAATTATTTTCATATATAATGCTTAAATTTTTTTGTTACTTATAAATGATAAGGTATATTATTGATAAATTAAACAGAAAAAGATTTCTAGTTTTCTACTTTTCTTATATTTAATGATAATAATTATTTCATCTATTTTTAACCATGCCTTTTTTTGTCAATATATTCACTTTTATTAAAATCGAAGTAGAAGGCTAAGTAATTAAAATGAAAAAAAAAATGGCTATGATTTTCAGAATCAGCATGAAAAACTAATTAAGAAAAATTGGTTAAACTATAAAAAATTTAAAAAAAGACGATTATGGACCCCCCTAGTTATATAGACGTGAATTTGACATTTTTTAATTATCAACTTTCTTACGCTACTATTGTTTTAAATTAATTTTATTGAGTATGATTTTAGAATATATTATTTGAATTATCTTTGTTTTTTTCGCACTGACTATTCAAAACAATTAAACGTAAGTGTATTCTTCCGTTTTTATGCATCAGTGACAAGCAGTTTTGGCTTTTTTATTTTGCTACTGACCTTTACTATTAGGTATGAGATAAACCGTCCTCCAATATCCTCCAAACATTGATTATGTAGATCAAATGCCTAATGTATCTTAACTGCAATGTATCATAAATATTTTGCAACTTTTTGCAACTAATAAAGTTATAACAAATAATTCATACTCGATTCATAGTATTTATTGCAAAAACACGTTTTTCATAAGTTCTTGAAACTCGACTAATTTTAATGACTTTTTAATTGCAAATTATTTATGCAAGATTTTCTTTACCAAAGGTTTCAATAATTATTTTTTTTAGTTATACATATGATACTTGTTGATATGGTGCCTTTTTACCTACATCCCACCTTCCCCCCCCCTCCTTCCTTTTCCGCCTTAAAAAAATATTTTTATAACCTTTACAGTATATCTAATGCTTTTACATATAGTGTATGCACTAATAATATTTTACAGACACTTGTCCGCAAAATGCAAGATTTTAGATGAAATATTTTGATCTTTTCAACTTTTTAAAAGATAATGAAATTTCTATTCAAGATACTGAGAAATCATATATTCATTTGCTAACATTCTTTGAGTTATCCCTCGATCAGAACAATGAAATTGTTCGGAGATCAACACTTATGAACATTTTAGCACATCTTAAATATCGCTGGAATATCTGTAAACGCAGAGAATCTTTATTTATTAAGAACAATACTAAATGGCTTGATAATGAAATTAATTTAAATGATTTTGCTGGAGGCAAAATAACCATACCTACTGCAAGTTCTTAGTCTACTTCCAGCGCTTGTCGACCAACAATTACTGACTTTCAAGAATGTTCTTCAAGAACTAAGTATCGACGTGTTAGTAAACTCCAAAAAAGTTACTCGTCAAATGAGCTATTATTTGCTTCAAAAGTTTCATTAAATAAAGAAGGAAAAATAGAAAAAGCTAAAGCAATCAACATAATATATTTAAATAAGAGTGTATATTTTTCGATACTTTCAGGAAATGAAGCATTGTCGTTGATGCTAAATTCAAATATGACCAAAGCTGCGTTTCAACTCCATAGAAATGCAGCAATTGAAAAGAATGCAACCTGTATCCTGCATATAACAATATAAAATCATCAAAACTTTTGTGCTACCTTAATAACATGATTTTTACTGACTATACTGCAAGTATACCACTGCAAAGTTTATATGACCATACAGCTCAAAGACTTTGTCAAGTTCAAAATGAGGTTTTATGTATACTAGAAGCGTTTGACCTGGTATCTCTTCATTATAAAGCAGGTTTTGATGGGTCTACTGGTCAAAGCATATAAAAACAAAAAATTTCTGTTGAAAGTTTTCGCGACTTAAAAAGAGAAGAATCATTGTTTCTAACTTGCCTGGTTCCACTTCAGATTACAACTTATGTTAGAGAAACCCTAACTGTCATTTGGAGAAATCCAAAACCTTCTTCCACTTTATATTGCCGACCTTTAAGATTTAAATTTGAAAAAGAAACAACTGATTTATAACTTATTGAAATAGCTACTTTGAAAGACGAGATCTTAAATCTTGTTGAAACTTTTGTTTAGTTATCTAATGGTAAGTCTATTTCAGTCAAACATATCATTCAAGTTACAATGATAGATGGCAAAGTCCATACTGCTCTATCAAATGTAACAAGCTCTAGTCAATGTTGCTGTATATGCGGGTGTTCACGAAAAGACATGAACAACATCGACAAAGTTACGAAACTTCCATACTCACCGGATGAGCTTCAATATGGATTATCTACACTTCATGCATGGATAAGATTTTTTAAGTGTCTCATTCATATTTCATATAAAATACCAATAAAAAAATGTAAAGCAAGGGGAGACAAAGAGAAATCTCTGGTTAAAGAACAAAAAATGAAGATGCAAAAAGAATTTCAACACAAAATGGGACTTATTGTTGACTACCCAAAATGTGGAGGATCTGGAAACTCAAATGACGGCAATACTGCTCGAAAAGCGTTTTCAAATGAAGACTTGTTTGCTGATATTACAGGAATAAACAAGGAACTTATTTTAAAGTTGCATACAATCCTAATTTGTATATCAAGTGGATTTCAAATAGATACTAGTAAGTTTCGCTTACTTCGTCTGGAGACCGCAAAACTCTACTCATGCTTGTACCATTGGTATTACATGCCTCAGAGTCTTCACAAGATCTTAATTCATGGAGCAGAAGTAATAGAAAATCTATTCTTACCAATAGGTCTTTAGTGAAGAAGCTCAAGAAGCTAGAAATAAAGAATTTAGAAAATATAGGGAACATCATTCTCGTAAAAATTCAAGAACAAAGACAAACGAAAATGTAATGAACAGACTTTTATGTACATCTGATCCAGTTATTTCATCTTATTGAAAAACTGTTTCATCTGTAAAAAATAAATTTCCTTCAGGTGTTGTTGAACTTTTTATTTGCGAAAATTCTACGTTCTAGAGTATAGATATATCTAGTTCGTAATGTTTAATTGTAATTAAACCAAAAGATAAATTTTTTTTACAAAATATATGAGCTTAATATTCATTTTATATGGTTTGTATAATTAGTTTATAAAAGTTTTAATTAAAAAAATTAAAAATAATTTTGGCACAAAAAACGCGATTTTATCCCACTGTACACTGTGGGGTTGTAATTAAAAAAGTTGTGCTAAAAAGTGTGCGAGCACCTATGCGTTAATACATTTTTTAAAGAAAGGTCTAATGTAAAAGATGTTTTTTCACTTTTTGTTAAGTCGTACCAAAAAACAAAAACTCCATTTATTTTAAATCAGATTCAGTTGGAAAAACGATTAAAAAAATCTTAGTGCATGCTTTTAAATTTCTTTTTTATTCTTAAATTTTTTAAAAAAGCATTTAACCACCATTTACCATACCCCAAGGCATTCAATTACCACCAATATTTTTTTACGCAAATAAATCTCCGCATGGTTATTTTTAAACGTAAGTTCCACTCTCTGACTACCTGAATTTTCGTGCAATCTTCAGGAATTAAGTGTTAAAGAAAGCTTTCAGTGCGCATAATGATAGCGAAGGTAAAATTCCGTGACATTTTTGTTACCATTTCAAAATGATATTCAAGGTCTAAAAAATGTTTTCTTAAAAATTATCGATGTTTAGGCATCCTTTTATATCTAATTATAGAAAAATTTTATGAAATACAAAAAAAAATTTTATTTGCGTATATTGTACAACTATACCTAAAGAGATAAAAATTTTTTTTTTAAAAAACCTCTTATTTTAAAAACCAAAACACAATTACATTAACGTTAATAAACATTAACGATGTTTGTCAAAATTTGTTGAGGTTTTGACGTTTTATGATTTTTCCAACGAATAATGCGGCATCTTTGAATGTTATAACCTATCGCTGATAAAGAGTTAATACTAAACGAGAATTTTTTTTCTAAAACTTTAGCGTTCAAAAAATAACACGACAAAAACAATATTAATAAAACTATTCAACTAACGTCAACAAACAATAGTTACTTGACAAAACATTAATTTTTACATTAATTAATAAATTCATTATAAAAAATAATACTTAAATTTAAAAGAAAAATCCTAAATTTTAAAGTGAAGATATCCTAAAACTGACTCCAGTTTAACTTAAACAGCCGGGTTACTAGGTTTATAAATTTTTATTTTTTTATCGGTTAGGTACAAAAGAAAGTCATTTTAAAAAGTCATAAAAGGATAAAAATCAAAATAAAAGATCTTTATAAAGTGCGGCTTCGCTTTCATCGGAGCTCGCCTTTTTAGATTGAATTCTCATTAGAGTATTTTGAAAGTGTTTGTTTATTTGATCAGTTTCGTCATTTGTCTCCAATCCAGGAAGATCTTCGCGAATTTTGTCGATCAATTGATTTAAAATTGTTGAATTAACCTAAAATGAAAAAATTTCCAACTCAAATATCGGCGGCTAGTAAATTTTGATCGAACTTATATAACAAATTACGTAATTCAGAATTGTCGAATTATCAATTCGTTATTAGCGAATTTTCTTCTTCTTAAACGAACACCATTAACTCGATGCATAATTTAAATTCAGTTTTATTTTAATTTAATTATAACATCTCTAAAAATATCAATTTGTAATTCTTATATATAAAATTTAATAAGTTTATTCAAAAACAAAAATTTGGTAGTTTGTTAATTTGTTATTGCCCCAGGGTAGTGCCTGAGTGGGCTTATATTAGGGTGGTACTCATATAATTGGATGCAACACAACTAGGTGACATAATCTAGAAGTTAAGTTAGAAGTCATTTTGGTATTAAATTTGCTGGTAATATATATATATATATATATATATATATATATATATATATATATATATATATATATATATATATATATATATATATATATATATACATATGTATGTATTTATATAAACTGTGGCCATTGGCCATTTTATGATGAGTGCAAATATGACATTTTGCAGAAAAAGAGTTTGAAAATTTGATTTGTTGACATAAATCAGATAATAATGAAAAATAAAAATTAAAACCAAATGAAAGATCTAACGAAATATAAAAAAACTGCATACTTATCTCAAAATGACCAATTTTGCACTTATCATAATTTGAACAAATAAATTGACCAATGGCCACGGATATATATATATATATATATATATATATATATATATATATATATATATATATAAATATATATATATATATATATATATATATATATATATATATATATATATATATATATATATATATATATATATATATATATATATATATATATATATATATATATATATATATATATATATATATATATATATATATACAGTGCTCGAAGTAGGAAAAAAATGGTATATTTAAACATTTTATTTTTAAACGTCTTATTTTTTTATATTTACCAATTTTTAAATAATTGAAAAAAAATTCGGTCAGAATATCTTTCAAAATGTTTCACTTTCATTTATAGACTTTAATGCCGGCGCTTCACAATTCCTAAAATTAGTATCGCGATGTCCTTTCCCAAACCACTTAATGACATAATCCTTTGGATCGAAATGCGCAATTAGTGGACTTACTAATGAAATGAACATTAAACTCTACACAGTTTTTATTAGTAAAGAGTTTCGCAAGGAAGATAAGGTTATATTCATAGTAGAAAAAGAACGAATTTTACAAGCCTTTTCGTGTGCAACTGATAGTTTATGGCTTGAAAGCTTTTTCCTCATTGATTGTTGTTTTTTTTTTTTGTTTCGCCATACTCCTTAACGTTGCCAAGCGTCCACTCGCTAGCCAATTTTATTCTTTGAGATTTCTCGGCACCTAAATTATTTACTGACTTACAAACAGAACAACGAAGACCTGTTAATGAAACTGTCAACCATTCACATTTTTTAAATTTCTCCTTCCACTGTAAATCAGACCAGTAAACTGGAAAAATACCATCACATTGAGGAAAATATCGGCAAGTTTCAATACTCGAAAAATCTGTCACTTTTTTATTTATTTCAGTGTCATTTTCCAAATTACTTTTAGAACTATCACTGCTTAACTTTCTTTTCCTTCCACTTGCTAGCCATTTATCCATATTTATAATAAGTAATTTTTTTTTAAAATCATAACATTTAATGTTGAGTAAATCTACTGTGTACTATATTTTATTTCACCAAAAAAAACTCTAATGATACTTTAACTTTTAAAAAAAGCCAATGTCGCTTTTTGTTGCTTGGTAACTTTTTATTTAAAATACAAAAGAAAAGACGCAATGTTTTATAATTATCGATTTAGTTTTTAAATTTTCTATCGCAAATTTTTAAATAACAACTGAAACTTTAGTTCATTTAAATTCGCATATTGCCGCAAACTTTAAAATTGTTTTTACAAGTTTATTTATAGGAGGAAAATAAAATAACATTTCCATTAATTTATTATATACCGGGATAGCATCCCAGCCCAAAATATGCATTAAAAAAGGTAGTGGGATGCTTTTCAAAATTTAAAAAGGTAACGGGATGGCATCCCGCCCCATCCCGCCTCACTTTGAGCACTATATATATATATATATATATATATATATATATATATATATATATATATATATATATATATATATATATATATATATATATATATATATATATATATATATATATATATATGTATATATATATATATATATATATATATATATATATATATATATATATATATATATATATATATATATATATATATATTACTAAGAGAAAAATCATTTAATAAATAAACAAATAATATAAAAACACAAACACATCCTATGTGTGTGTTTTTAAAAATACAACATCCTACGTGCCACTCATAGTCTATAAAAAAATGTGGTACTCATGATCTGAGTAACACATAGGATCTTGTTTTTAAATTTAACTTAATCTCTTGGAAAAAGATGTTTAAAACAAGGTCTGAAATTGTATGAATCAGGAAAACATAAAAATGAGTAAGACTTTTACAAGAGCAAATTATCAATGAAAAAAAAAAAAAAAAAAAAAAAAAAAACGAATAAAATTTTTTCTAGCATAAAGGAACAGTTATCGTAAAATGCGGGCCTACTGAATGATGAGTCACGCAAGATTGAGTTTTGATTAATGAACAAGTTATGATAGTTTAAGTTATGTTAAAGAGAAAGAGACACAATGTTTCAATGACGCAATGTTTTAATGATGGTACAGACAGCTTGGCAGTAGGAGCAGATTCAAAAACGGTTTGTAAACTTTGTTTAAGATATAGAAGGCGATTTTAATAAAATTAGAATGAAAACATTTAACAATCTTGCTTCTATAATCTTGTTTCTACATTTTCATTTGGTAACAAATTCCAATTATTACATATGGTTACTATGTGTAATAATTAGTAACCATGTTACAATTTGGTTGGTGAAGAAATTGTAAAAACCAATTCAAATATGACTACAGTAATTCAAGGAATATTCATATTGATATGTCAAATGAATGAACAAACATTTTCAAACAGTATTCCATAAAAGGAATCCTGTTCTCATATTTAGGTCCTAAAAGAAAGATGAAACTCATCCATATAAACCTTCCGTTAACAAGAACTTATTTTGTAATAGAGGTTTAGAAATTGAGTATAAGAAGTATTTTGAACAATTACTTTAATTACGTTTTTTTAGTGTTCACATTTTTAATCATGAAAGTTAATAATCTGCAAAACTTGCTATATATTTCAACACTAAAAAATGCATTGCAAATATAACAAGGAGATTATATTAGATCAAAGACATAAATTATTGCATAAATATTGTATGCTTATTCTTGTATGTAAATACTCACATATGGTGGGATCATAATGGACCACATATGTTAATGAATCCAGAAAAAATTTAAAGAATTGAAGAACTGTGATGGCAGAAAATGCGTAACTTAATTTGATGCATTTAAAAAACAAAAGAATACCATACAGAACTAATGAGTTCTAAGTAATGAGAAAAGAATATCAGACTTTTTATTCCATCTAATCTTATAAGATTGTTTAATGTTTTCTTACTTGTTAGTAGTTTTATATTATTAATTACTATTATTATTATTATTATTATTATTATTATTATTATTATTAATTTATTAGCTTTAATATTATTAGAGTGAATTTACTATAGTAATCCCTGTTATCAAGTTGTCAAAACAGGTTTACTTTTAGGTTGATTTTTTCTTTAAACACAAATTAAACTTTCAATTGTAAAGTAAAAAATTCTTGGAAATAAAATTTTTTTCAATATTCTTTACCGCTTAAAGAGGAAAATTATGAATTGAATGTATAAAATACTTTATACATTTAATTTCATGGAGAGCAAATAAATTCAAAATATTTAGATATATTCTGATTAATTTCGAAAAAAAGTCTTTTCATACATTTATTACTAGTAGAATATTTAAATCTATATATATATATATATATATATATATATATATATATATATATATGTATATTACTAGTATATATATATTACTAGTAGAATACTTAAACCATTGAGCAGGTCCAATTTTAAGCCTTCTACCCCTATCCACTTTTACAATTAAAAAAAAAAAAATTTCAGCAAAAAATCCAAATCTAAAATTATTTTATGTGATTTACGTTTTATTTATTTTATAAGATTTTCATTTAATTCATTTTTCATTAACAGATTTCCAATGCAATGATAAAATTTTCTTAGTTGTTGTAGTTTCAAAATAATTTTCTTAGTTGTTGTAGTTTCATTGATCTTTAGTTTTAAAAAAATTATTTGTTATTAAAATTTTACTGAGTGTAAAATAATAGCTTAGATATTTTCTTAAATATTAACTTAGTAACTTTTCTAGTTAAATAATCTACTATAGCGTATATAGACATTCATTTGCTGACTTTTTTGCTTACTTTATTCTATACCACTTTATCAAAAAAAAATAGTTGCTGCCCCAACCCAAACTCTTAATCAATGTAGCAACACTCCTCACATGTTCTTCCTGTTTAGTCAATTGATGTATATACTGAAACCATTGGCAACCCCTTATTTACCTGAGTTTATAACATGTGTGCATATATATATATTTTATTATTCAATTTATATATATATATATATATATATATATATATATATATATATATATATATATATATATATATATATCATAAATATGTGTGTGTATATATATATATATATATATATATATCATAAATATGTGTGTATATATATATATATATATATATATATATATATATATATATATATATATATATATATATATATATATATATACACATTATTAAAAATAACATATGATACTTACAGCTTCATTTCCCCTCCCATAGTAATACAAATATCTGTTTAGTATTTCTACAAACAGCTGAACTTGCACCGTTGGATCCATGCATTGATTAGCAATACGTAGAGATTTCTTCAAACATTCCATTACTCGTTTACCATCATGACACTAAACAAACAACATTTTTACATATTTTAAAGCTACACGACAGAAACACAAACATTTTATTAAATGTACATACTTCAACAAACAATAGGTACACAAACATGCTATTAAATGTACATACTTCAACTTTTTCTGTATCATCTTCATTGTTTACACGCCCTGACCAGAATAAATGGGAACATACAGAAACACCTCGACATTGGTCTGGCTTTTTAAGAAGTTTTGAAGCTGCAAGTGCACATTGAGTTCGAAGTGGTTCATGGTTTTCTTCGCTAAAGCAAACCATTTTCTCAAAGGTTCCAATTATTAATGTAATTGCAGCCAGTTGTGCTTTGGAATCTGAGATTTCATCTTCATATATTGCAAATGCCTAAAAAAGAATTAAACTCTACCTTTTCATTGATATGTCAACAAATACAGTAGTGTTAAAGATGATATTTTTTGATCTTTGTGAAAATACAAAGAGATTTAAATAGGGTTTGCAATCCCGTGATCCCCGCCATTTTTATAATTCCGAAATTCCGGGATTGTCAATCCCTATACAATTGAGCAAAACAAAGAGAAATCAAAAAATACATAAAAAGAGCAACATTATGCGCATCAATATAATATATTTTATTTAGTATAACATCGCCGAAAGTAATTCTATTTTCAGTTATTCTGTTCTGTAATTCTGCAGAACAAACTTTTTTAAACTGAAAAAAAAACGCGCGTTTCTTACAAGGTTTACTCTTGAAATTAAAACTTAAACATGGCGTATGTGGATTTTACAATCAAAAGTAACTCAGCTGCTTGGAAATATTTTCTAAGAGAAGGGCAAACAACGATGTGTAAATTGTCAAAATGCAAGAAGATTTTAAAAATCTGTGGTGGTTCAACAAAAGGACTTCATATACACATGTTGTCGGTGCATAATGTGAAGGTCGAAAATCCAACCCAACCTAATATTACTGGAGAAAGCACACCAGATAAACCACCAAAAAAGAAATCTAAACCACTAACAGAATACTTTTCGATTTTTGAGAAGGAAGATAAAACACTTCACGCTACACTTGTTCGTCTAACAGCATCTGACGGACTTTCATTTAATGTGATTTGTTCTTCAATAGATTTACGTGTCGCTCTAACTGCTATGGGATTCAGAAATCTACCAACGTCAGTAAAAACAATTCGTAATCATGTAGTAGAGTACAGCAAAAAAGTAAGATTACGTTTAGTTCAGCAAATTAAAGTACTTAAGAGTACAGAATTCGGGGTAGGAGAGAAATTTTTGTTGTCTTTTGACAAATGGACGTCACTTCAAAATCGTCGCTATATGAATATTAACGTTCATGGAAAAAATTCTCAGTTTTGGAGTTTGGGCTTAGTACGAACAACAGGGTCAATGCCAAAAGTGCATTGAACTATTAGAAAAAAAACTTAAAGACCATCGTCTTGATCTACACGGCGACATTGTAGCTATAATGACCGATGGAGCTAGTGTTATGAAAAAAGTTAGAAAGTTGCTGGCTGCAAATCAACAATTACGTTTTGCCCATGGCATACAACTTGCCCTAATTGATGTTTTTTTAAAAAAAAGAGAATTCAATGCAAATAAGCCAGAATTTGAAAATGAATTTTTTGACAGCGATTCATCCGAGAATGAGGATATTGAGGAAGATTTACTAGGCTACAATCATGAAACTTTAAGATCTAAAATTGAACTAAATGAAGTTCATTATGGACCAGTCATTAAAAAAGTACTGAATTTGGAAAACAACTGTCTTTAATTATGGATTGCAAAACAAGGTGGAGCAGCCTTCTGTTAATGCTTAAACAATTTTATAAAGTAAAAAATTGTATAGAAAAATCATTAATTGATATTTACACAGTGCAAGATAATTCTATAGCTTTGTCGCATGATGATTTGACAATATTATCAGACATTATTACAACTTTAGTTCCTATTAAAGCAACGGTTGAAGCACTTTGTTGCTGAGATTCTAACCAATTTACAGCTGACATTGCTATTAATTTCACGCTTACAAAATGTAAAGATGCTGACAATGACACAAGCAAGGAAATGCGTACAGCTTTAATGGCTCGTATACATGAAGCCGAACTGATATAAGTGGACTTCTGCAATACCTGCGTAAAGGTCGGAGCTCCATTGAAGTTGATGAAGAAATAATTACAGTGCCTTCTTCATACAAATGTCAAAAACTGTTGGTAGAATTGCTGGAAAGATTAAACGCATCAATTTAGTAAGAGCATCAGTTGAGTCTGATATGCTGGATTTTATTGAAGAACCTGAAACTGAAAATAACGCTTTAAGTATTGAAGAGGAAATGGATTGTGTAATTAAAGAAGCGCAATTACCGATGCAACCAGTTAGGCATGAAACACTGCTATCAAAAAATCAAAGAGAAATGATATTATTTGAAAATGGTGGTACACGTGGTGATTATTTAGAAAGAGTTTGTTCATTTCTAATGACGGTGAAACCGACAAGTGTCGAGGCTGAGCAGGCGTTTCTTCTGCTGGACTGTTTAATAATAAAATTCGTAATAGGTTGGGCGATGAAACATTAGACGCGTTGTGCTTCCTGAAGTCACATTTCAAAGCACATGAAACATGATATATTTCCTTATTTTTAATGAAATTTCTTAACACCAATTAACATGTTTTTTTTGTGTGGATGTAACGATGTAATGCAAACAACATCATTTATAAAATATATTTTTGTGTGTACTGTTTTTATTCTACTTAATACTATATAGATGCTGTATCTGTTTTTAATCCCGGGATCCCGGGATTGATGACCTTCAGGATTGCAAACCCTAGATTTAAAATAATAAGAAAAACTTGAAATGCTCAAAATACTAAAAAAAAATAAAAAATAAAAAAAATAAAAAAAAATAAACAATATAAACCTGCAAAAAATAATATATTAAACCTGGCTCATGAACTCATATGCAACTGTTTCAGCATTAGTAAACCTCTGTTGATCAGCAGCTAGAGCTCCTTGAAGAAACAATCTTAATGATAGTTCTGCATATTCAGCTTTAGAAAGTGCACATATAGTTTGGTGGCAAAACTGAAAAATCTTTTGGCATTTTTTGTCCCACTTATCATCCTTTTATTAAAAAAAAAAATTCAATAAAAAAGTATTTATAAAAAATATAATATTTTTTGTCTCACTTATTGACCAAGACAAGTTTAAGCTTTCTTGACACACATTTATTAAGTTTTAAATAAAATTAACTCAAATATTTTTTTTTAAACAGATTTAATTTTGATATAGTCTATTTAAATGGACCTGCTAACTCCCAACACATTATGTGTTGGGAGTTAGCAGTCCATTTAAATAGACTATAACAAAATTTCAAGATAATTACAAAAAACAGTTATGACTAACATAAACAAGTAAATACAGCCACTATATATCAAAGCTTGTTTTTGATTAAAAAATTAAATAAATCTTATTGGTTTAGTTGAAATAAAAACCTGATCTTGTTGGCTGCGATAAATAAAGGCTAATCTAAATGCTGCAAAGACCAAAGGAGGAAGAGTCAACTTAATTCTTTTTTCCCCACCATTACCAAAATGTTTACGAGCAGTCGTTAGTATCTAAAATAAAAAAAATTCACAAAAAAACAAGTATAAATATTTTTGTTAATAATCACATCAAAGTCTTTTGAAAGGGTATACAAATACATTAATTCTAAATTTCTAAATACAAATTCAAATACAAATATATTCAATGGGCATTTTCAAAACACAAATATTTGTAATTTAGGTTAAGAAAAAATGAAAGGATTTTTTCAAGATAAGACAAAAAAATGGTCTACATATAGAAGAATGAAAACAAGTCTTCTAACAAATATCCATTAAAAACAAATTTTTAGCTTATTTTAGTGTCAAAAATTAAAAAAAAAAAAACAATCTCTTGGTATTTTCCAAAAAACACCTAGTTTATGGAACTGCAAAAACATTTCAATCAAGTACAAATATTTAAAGCACTTTTAAGCAAATACCATACGAATACAAATTTGTCAATTTAGCCCATTTTCACCAAATATAAATATGTATTTGACCCCAACCCTGGTATGTATACACATAACCATAAATTCTTACTTGAATAAGTATATTATAGATTTTTATAAGCATGTATATACATAATAACCATTAATTCAAAATATTAAAAAAATCAATTAATTAAAAAATTTACCAAATATTGTTGATCAGGATTATCTGAGTAAAGCAATGTAACAAGTCTACCCATAAGCCCTTGCTCTTCTGCAAAGTCTTCTGGATCTTCCTTAAAAATAAACACTCTTAAATTCTTATGAACTTTTCTATATCATACAACAACAATAAACAAATACTACTACTAAAATGTTTTCGTACTGGTTCTGCAGGCTGATCATCTTGATCCATAATCAAAGGTGCAGCAAGCTGGAGAACACTGTCAACCTCTTCCATAGACGGTATATAAGTTTCATTGTCAAGAGCATTATTAATTACATACATTGCCATTTCTTTCCTAGTAGCATAATGAAAATATCCAAAAAGTGGAGCAAAATGCTTCAACTTTAAAATGGTAAGGACATTGTTGTATGCATCAACAGGAATTTTGAGCAATCGCATCAATTCTTTTGAAACAGCATTGTTTTTATCAATACTAAAAATTATTTTGAAAACTACTTTATGCCTCACCACAACAAATATAGGATGTCAGAAATTATTATATACAAAAATGTCATTATTCAATGACATTTTTATACTTAGTAACAACAGCGAAAGTTAAACAAACAAAAAAACATACTGAGCCAAATTAAGTTTACTAAATATTTCTTCAGTGTACTCTAGGACTTTATCAACATAGTCAACACGATCTGGATAACATTTCAAAGCAAGATTAATAAGAGATACTTGTAAAGCCACAATGTCTTCTGTTGGCATGTCACTCCTTGACTAAAAGAAAGTTCAGAGCACATCCACGTATTTAATTAAATAAAATTAAAAAAAAAAAAAGAAAGAAAGAATTATGTTATCTAACAATAAATATAATCTAATGTTAAATCTTTATTCAATTTAGGATAAAAATTAAAAATAAAAATATTAGGTAGTTAAAAAAAGTATTGAATTATAAATTTTAAATTTTATAACTTTTTTGAACATGTTAAAATTACTACTTAAATATAGTTTTTTTTATATATATATTATAACAAACTTTAATGATCATTTTAAAACAAAACAAAAAATAATTTTATTCCCATTTAATCTTACATTGTTCAATTTTTTAATTTCTATTGTGTAATTTCTAATTTTTATTAATCATTAAAATTATAGCTTTTTTATATTGTTCATTAAACTGGTTAAACTGTTCTGTTACTTTAAACAAAAGAGCACGAGCACAAGTAGAAACAAACAAACTAACAAAAACAAAACAAAACAAAAACATTTTAATAAAAGTAAATTTGTCAATTTTTGTTTCCAACGACCAAATAGATTGTAAGAAAGGTTCAATTAATATTCCATTTCTATTTAAAACCAATTTATCAACAGCTCAAGGCTCCGAACCTTAGTCAAAAATACAGAACACCATTTAATAACCCAATTACCTGAATTACATGAGCCACTTGTTGAGAGAAAATTTCAAACAAACGAATATCATTAGGAATGCCTGGTCCATCTCCACGATTAGCATACATGGCCAGACGATCAATCAGTGCAATAATAATATTTTTGACATTCACATCTTGATGAAGATCTGCGCAAGCTTTTAAAAACGGATTTAGGGTTTGAAGATGAAAATCATCTGGAAAAACCTTTATGAATGACAACAACAAAAGTTATCAATTTTATGAGAAGTATGTTAAAAAATTTTAAAAGATATTTGTATAAATATAAAAACTTGATAAAATTAATAAAAACCATTGTAATCTGAATAATAAATTAAACAGTAGTATATGATAATAATTAAATAATAGATGAAGTGAAAATAATCGATAAATAAACAATACTTGTATGATACATTCCATAAGATACTCCTGAGCAATAGCATCCCTGCAGCATATACATTGTTCTAATACTCCTGGTAAAACATCCTAGAAATCGGTATTCTAACTTGTTAATTGCATGCTATTATTTACTAAATACACTTACAAAACATACATTTATTATTTTTGTATGGTTTCTAAATGCATAAAAGTGGTTTATAAATGTATGATTTTTAAATGATTCATAATTTTTGGAGTTTTTTTATTTCTATATATTGCAAACTAAATGTAAAAAACCTTTTTATAAATTTCCACATCGATTCCTTCCAGCTGGCTCAATCTCACAAGGTTTGTTCCAACTAAAATTTTTAATTCCTGACGCTCACGCTCTCTTTTTTCTTTAAACTTTGAATGGCCTTGATGTTGCATTCTTACCCAAAGCTTATTCATTTCAGCAAAATTTAGAAGAATAAAATCAATTGAATCATGAACTGTCCCTTGGCTAAAAAAAAAAAAATTAACAAAATTTTACATTTAAAGGTTGCATAATCAAATAATTGCATAAACATTTCACAACCTAAAGTCAAATTTAAAATCTTTTTTTTTTTAAAAACAGAAAAAAAAGTATAACTTTTAATAAACATTAGAAGCTTCCTTACTAAATCTGCTGCTTTCAGAATTTCAAAAGCCATATTTTAAGTTCTAAAAGTCATACTATAAAGAATAAAGTATATCCAACTCAATGTTTAAAACAATGTGAAAAGATTAGTATCAGCAGTTCTTTTTGAATATTTTGAGAATTTTGATATTGTTGTCATAAGAATCAATTGATTCACATCTATATAGAGCTATTTATCACCTTTGACTTCAGTTAATAATAGATACTGGAAAACTTTTAAAAATAATTTACATTTATATTATAAGCAGCCATCAAAATATGTAATCAAAGAAGAATTCAATAGGATTTTAGTTAATATCATTTCAATCAACAAGTTTTGAAAGTATTCACACAAAAAATAATAAACTTTAGGTTATCCTGGTAAATGGTGAGAACAAATTATTCTATGTTTGAACAAATTATTCTATGTTTGTTAATGTCACAAGTAACAGATATTGTACAAAATAAAGAAACTCTCACATATTAGGTGCAACTTTTGAAAAAAAGTCAATTTAAGTATTTCAATCAACATTAGAAACTGTTAGTTTTAAAAAATGAATTACAACAAACCACTTTGTTCTTACTTTTTTTTTTTTAAATCAATTTAATTAATTTAATTTTTATTTATAATCTCAGGAATTATAGGACATGAAATAAAATATTGGTAATATATTATGAAACTAATACTAATATATTTTAGTAGCTATCCCTTCTAATAATAGCGCTAGGAATAGCGCTATTGAATGATGTTTGGTACTTAATTGTTTTCAACTGATTGTACTGCCAACTATTTGACTTTCTAATAAATATCTTAAATGTCCCTAGATCCAGCCTCTATATCAATTTTTTTTTTTTAATAAGTGCAACTGCTAAGAGAGTATGAACACTAAAACCTATAGGACCATTGTATGGACCTACTAATAAATGCTCACTAACTATAGTATCGTCTACACCTAAACCAAATCTTATATTCAAATCAAATAGCAGTACATTGAGCAGTGCATAATTTCCTGGACAAATTGCATTTGTTTTTTTCATCAATCATTAAATTTTGCATGATTGATTTTATTTTTTTAATGATGATTTTACAAAACTAATAGTAGCATACTTTTGACCTTCCAAAAACTCTTGAACTAAGGATGTAGTATATTTTTAGTGCGCTTCAATATTTACCTCTCTTCATTGATTACAATTGATGGTTATCCTTTCAAAAACATTTTGAATATTTTTTACAATATCGCTTATTATTATTATTAATACTAATAATATTTGATCAAATACTAATAATATTTTGTCAATAGTTAATAATAACTACATTAAATATAAATTACTCAGTTATAAAGATTATATCAATTTATTTATAGGTTTAGTTCTTAATAGAAACATCTTTACGCATTGCTATTGTATTTTTTAGTTCTTAATAGAAACATCTTTACGCATTGCTATTGTATTTTTTAGTTCTTAATAGAAACATCTTTACGCATTGCTATTGTATTTTTTAGTTCTTAATAGAAACATCTTTACGCATTGCTATTGTATTTTTTAGTTCTTAATAGAAACATCTTTACGCATTGCTATTGTATTTTTTAGTTCTTAATAGAAACATCTTTACGCATTGCTATTGTATTTTTTAGTTCTTAATAGAAACATCTTTACGCATTGCTATTGTATTTTTTAGTTCTTAATAGAAACATCTTTACGCATTGCTATTGTATTTTTTAGTTCTTAATAGAAACATCTTTACGCATTGCTATTGTATTTTTTAGTTCTTAATAGAAACATCTTTACGCATTGCTATTGTATTTTTTAGTTCTTAATAGAAACATCTTTACGCATTGCATTGTATTTTAAAACATCAAATTTAATTATGACTAATAGTAGAGGTAGAATAATTAGATTTGTTTTATAAATAACTTTAAAATAAGTTAAGAAAACTAAAAATTCAATCTTGAAATAAAAGTGCAACTTTTATTATATTAAGCATCATTTTGAAACACATCTTTGATGCTTAGTTATGTCTGGTAATTAAAGAAGTAAAATTATTAGGCTTTGTTGTAATTAAAGAAACCAGGCTAGGCAAAATGAATATAACCATTGCTAAAATGAATGAAATAAGCTTAGGCTAGCTGAGGTAAACTGTCCTTGAAATGAAAGAGATGAGCCTAGGTGTGCTGAAATAAACTGCCGCCAAAATAAAAGATATCGGGATTGGTGTTATAATTCCTTTTTATCTTTTGCTTCCTTCGCAGCCAAAATAGTTTATCCCTTAAATAATTGCATTTCTTTTTTAGGTTTTATGGGAAAATTTTGTATCATGTTGGAAATTAAAGTCCTAAAGAAGGTTTTCTACCCATGTATTGTCAGTTTAATATATATGATCCTAATGTAGCAGTGTCAGAATGAAGCAATCTGGTAATGATGGTTGTATAAATAAGTTAATGTAACTCTTACAAACTTTAAATAATCAAGAAAACCCATTTGCTTCTGCATTTAAAAACATGGCAGAAGTAGAGGAGATGATGGCACAATTAACTGGAGCATCGTGTTACGTTGTCCCAGTATTATAGTTATAGGTTTGCTGTTAGGCAAACTTTTAGTCCTAAATACAAACTAATTAGTCCTATATAATTAATGTTTAACTTGATGCTGCTTACTCATTCGTGCCTGTTTGAATCTAAGTTTCTAAAGAAGATTTGTTAGGCTTAATCATATAATATATCACTTTATATTTTTGACCACATGATAAGGTATTCTCAAATTTTTATTATCTCTATTACAATCTGTAATATCTGTTGTATCAGTTATAAGATCTTAATTTCTATAATTTGATGCAATCATAAATTTTATGTCATAAATGTGTAAATACCTGTAACATATAAAGTGCTACAATGTGTGTTATGTGTAAGTGGTTATGTTGTTTCCATGGCTTTAAAGTGTTGTGACTTGGCTTGTGAGTTTACAGCAAGAATTTAGTATTATTATTGTGTTTTTTTTTTAAATATATAGCTCTAGCTGCTTCTTCTGGCTCAACAAGTGTTGTTGTACTCATACTTAGTACATTAATTGATTGCTTTTATTGTACAATACTATTTTATAACACTGTAGCCATTTTTCAAAAAGCCTTGAGGTAAAAAAATCAAATAAGCTAATTTAGATGCCTACAAACTTTATTGAATTAGTTATTTAGTTTAAAAAAATGTTTTACAAAGAGCTTCCTCCAATAATTAATTTTTAATTACGCTTTTAATTACGTACAAATATTTCTTTGAATTCAATCAATCAATGTAATAAGTCAATTTTAAGTGAGTACAATAATTTTATTGTTTTACTTATATTTAATAGTTATCTATTTAATAGTTATATAATCAAAGATTTCACTAAAAGCTATAGATTCAGTTTTCAAATAAAAACAAAGGTTTATCTTATTGTGATCATTCGTTTTTAGCCTTGCTTTTTTAAAAAGAGTTATTAATCCAAACTTGCAACGATAAATCTTGAAACTTTCAAAAAAGATAAACAACCTCGTAAGTTTCTTATTTGTTATCTGTTTAGTCACATTTTTGAGTTTTCAAATAATTAGAGTACATAACAAATTTATGTGTATTAAGTGTATTCAAAAATAATTTTGTTCCATTTTTAGGTCGAATTTCTTCTCCTATGACTAATTTTGAAAGTTCCTACATAGCAGAATTTAAGAAATGCTCTGAATGTCGATTGTATTCAAAAATCTAAAATGAAGCTTGATAATTTTCATACCATTTACTAAAAGATATATAATAATGAAAGAATGTTTCAAATTAAATTGTTTTCATAAACATTTTTGAAACTTTTTTACGTTGAATATTAAAATTTTTTGTAATTTTTTTTTTAAGTTTATTTTTTTATTTATTCTCAAGAAAATTTTTTTGTTTGTTTCTCAAATAAATTCCTAAATTTTTTATCTTTGGAATTATTGTTTTGAATGGATATATTGGCTATTTTTGCTTTTTTTTTTACATATTTTCGTTACCTTTTTATATGTGAATGGAAACCATTTATACTTTTATCACCTTTAGTACGATCAGGATAGCTTCCATTTGCATTAAGTATCGATTGCACAAACAAAAGGTTTAAAAATTGCCTAATTCTGCAGTAAAAACAGCTTAATTGTATGAATTTGTTAAGAGTTTTTTTACAGAGTGGCAAGAGAGTTATGATTTGAACTTATGAGAGAGTTATGATTTGAACTCTCTCATAAGTAAATCCTTATGAGAGAGTTCAAATCATAACCTAAGTTTCCAAAAACACCTAAAGAAATGTTATGCAACTGTCTTATATGCTAAAGATACTTTTATTATGTAGAAAATATTAAAGTAAATAAGTAATAAAATAATAAAATAGTTCTAAATAATAAACAAATATAATAAATAGTTCAAAACAATAAATAAAAATAATAAATAGTTCTAAAGTATAGTAAATTAAAAATTAACCACAAGGCAAGAAAATACTAACTGCGTACTTTATAGTGAACCAAGACATGTTAATGAGCACAACAGTCATGATATTTAAAACATTTGCCCGTCAATTTTTTAAATTAAATGTAATGGTATTCAGTATATTTTATTTGAATTAAACTGTTTTCTTTTAAACTAATTGTAATTTAACAAGCAATACATTTATGGTTTGTGAAAATGTTCGCATTTTACCAACTACCAATCTTATGTTATGCATTTTACCAACTACCAATCTTATGTTATGTATTTTACCAACTACCAATCTTATGTTATGCATTTTAACAACTACCAATCTTATGTTATGCATTTTACCAACTACCAGAACTTTAAATTTTCTTTTAAAATTAGTTTTTATCATTTAATAAATAAAAGGATAAAGACTAAAATAGGAACAGGTTTAGAAATAATTGGATGTGGATTAGACTTATGACAACCCTTATCATATGGATCATGACAGCTAGTATGTTTTTAGTTTGATCAGAGTCATTATGATCACCATTGATTTAGTATCAAGTTGCTTGAGTTAACCACAACCAATTTTGTACTACAGTAACAGTTTTTATCCTGTGGTAAAAAATGTTTGTTAACTTTTTAATAAATCATTTGACTGATTTAATGCTACAAAACTATGAACCAAGGCAAGAGCTTTGATCTTTGTTCATCATGATCATATGATTCTTTTTTTATTAAATTACAATATTCGCTATGCAGGCTAACCAACCATGCTTAGGTATTTCAACTGCTGCTTTTTTAACAATTTGAAGCGTTTTTCTAGACTTTTGAAAATTAATTTCTTTTATGGCTAATATGTTTCAATTATCAAAGTACTTTAAAATGTCTTCCATAAAACAAATAGCATTTAAGTTAGGATTAATTTAATAAATTTTAAATGAGAGGTTAATTAAAAGAATTAAATTTAGTTTAACTTTTTTTTAAATTCAAATTAAAAAAAAAAAAAATTCTTAAATTTAATTTAAATTTAAGAATTAAATTAAAATTAACACCTAAATATTTGAACATTTAACATCTTTTAAATATTTGAACATTTAACATCTTTTAAAATTAGATTTGAATAATTGAGCAACATCACCTTGCTCAATAATTTTGTACAAAAACAAAAACACAAGAGCAAGAAGGCCACTACAGATGAGGAGGCTACTTGTGGTTATAACCCTTTACCAACACTATAATTCTGAAACACGAACCTTGACGAACAAGGCCGCTGCACAGAGAAACAAGTTAAGCATGGTAATACTAGGGACATGGTGGGAATCGAACTTGGAACCTCTCATTTATGAATTTATTAAATTATTGCTCTATTGATCTCTTAAATTGATCAGTTATCTGCTCTTAAGTTGATAGCTATCAAGATATAATGATTCAATATGTTATAGATATAAATTTACTTAATAAAGTAATTAAAAAAATAAATTAATTAACAAAATAAGATAATATAAGCAGTATCTTATTATTTACTAAATACATCTAAAAAAATTTATTTTTTCATGGTTTGTAAAAATGGTTTCTAATGTATAATTTTCAAATGATTTATAATTTAATTATGCCACATAATTATATTTTAAAAAAATAAGATAAATTAACAAAATAAGATAACATCATTTAGTATTAGCTCAATTAGCTGAAACTAAAGTTGATTGGGTCAAATTGACCCAATCAACTTTAGTTTCAGATTGAAGCTTTAAACTATGAACCAAGACACAAGCTCTGCTCATGTTTGGCTTATCATGATCAAGGACTTTAGAATAGTCATAAAGAAAAAGAAAATCTTTGAAAGCCAATCTGAACAATGTGTATTACATTCTAAAACAAAAAACAGCTTGTGTGTTGTCTTTATTTATTTCATGGAAGACAATAAAATACTTTGATAATTAAAACATAATAGCCATTCGTTAAACAAAAAAAAAAAGAAAATAATATTTTTTACTTTGATAAATCAAAAAAATTTTTGTTTTATTAAAGCCATTCGATAAAACAAAAAAAACTTGCCTAACTATATGAACATCTTACTTTAAGCAGCCATCAAAATATAAAATGTTTATATTTTTGAAAAAGAATTCAATAGTAATTAGGCTATTTCATTTCAAACAACAAGTTATTTTAAAAGTCAGTTTGTAAAGTCTTTTAGATGCTAGATTCATTTTAAAGATTTAAAAATGATTTAAACCCAGCAATAAATAAAATTGAATAAATCTTATTGTTGTTTCAACCCAGACCCTTAATAATTGCATGTTCTCCTTATATCAGTCGATGTATGTTCTACATACAGATCTTAACCTTGCATAAAAGCCCTCACTTTTATGTAAAATTAAGATATTTGAAAAGGAAAACCTTATATGCAATAGTTCAATTTTTTTTTACAGATTTATTGATGTGTAAACGTCTATTCAATTAGTTTAAGTTAGCTTAATACGAACAGATATTAGATGTCTGATTTAGCAAATTGCCAACGTAAAGAAAATAATTTTTATGGAAAAAAACTTTATTTTTTAAACAGCTACTGATTTGACTTTTTTTTAATTCACCTCCCCAAGGTTAAGAGGACCATTACAGTCAAAGTGGTCAAGTAAGCTATTTTATTGTGGTTAAAACCTTCTCTTAGCTATTTAACTCCAAAACACGAATTTTGACAAACAAGATTTTGACAAGGTTACTGCACTGGCAAGGTAGCTGCATCAACATTTATACATTTTAAGTATTTTTTTTTTTCAAAATTTATGTTTGATTTTGTATATATATACATTTATGAACATCATTATAATCAACATGATCATCATCATGATTATTATCACCATAATTATCATCATCATCATCATCATCATCATCATCATCATCATCATCATCATCATCATCAGCAGCAGCAGCAGGCTTTAGCCTTCCTTTTTTATGCTGTTTCTTTAATCATGGTCAATGCTCAAATGAGGTATTAATTACAATAAACAAAAACTTATTCTTGCTTGTCTTCTTATTTAAAAAGTTTAATGCTTTTACTGTATCTGTCTCTATTTATCAAATACTGGCATAAATATATGCCAGAATAAAATTCTGGCATATATTTATGCCAGAATTTAGTAAATAGTAAATGTAAATATAAAATTATAACATATCAAGAATTATAAATTTATTTCTAGTCCCAGCTATCAACCCCTGGTAAATCTTACAATTTTGACAGGGATGGATTTGCAAAAAGTCTCATTTTTAAACAGGGCCAGGGCCGCGGTCGTTTACTACAATGAAGCAGTTTATGAATAATTGTTATCAATTAAGTTTTTAAACACTAAAACTTATTTAAACTCAAATTTAGCTAAAATCTTTTGACTCAAGTCAATGTAGTATAGTATCTCCGCCTTTATTCATTGTACTACCACATTCAAATGTTTCTCTGTGCAGTGGCTGTGGCAGTGGCCTTCTTTGCTAAGGCTAATGTTAAGAGGGTCAAGAGAAGGTTATAACAATAAATAATAAAAACAACAATAGCTAAGAAAACAAATAAGTAGGTAAAAAAGTATTAAAAAAACATTTGGTTTTTGTTATATAAGTTGAACTATAATATACCTTGGATCACTATCATTGTCTGGGAGTTGACCTCGAGTAGATTGTAATAAATAGTTTCTTAGAAACAACCCGCGTAATGGATGTTGTGTTCCACGACACATTTCAACCAAATCTTTTATAACATCTTTTTTTGGTACATCACCAAACTTTATGTAAACAATACCAACAGTTATTAGCAAGTACCTAAAAAAATTATTTTATTAAGTATATTGTATATCTTTTAAAACATAATGAATTATCATTATATCTTATATAAAATGAAATCAATAAATAAAAATAAACTATATTAAATAAGAATGAAAAAATAACAAAACAAGTAGTTTTTCAAATTTTCAAATTGAATTATTAAACAATTTAAATGTGAAAACTAGATTAAAATAATAGCTTATTCGATGATAACTTGTTATAAGAATTAAAAATCTTACAGTCTGGGAACAATATTGCCAGCATATTGCACTAGTTCATATAGATCATTAACTTTTCGGCCTTTATCAAATTCATCCAACAAGAAAATTTCAAGGTGATTTAATTCATCGCTAACACACATGTCTAATATTGTAGAGTTAAGGAAAAACAAAACAAAACAACAACAACAACAAAAATTTAGACAAGACCATTTCCTAATTTATTTCTCTAAATGGAAAAGTCTGTTCCTGAAAATGTCTGTTCCTGAAAATGTATAAATAAATGACATACAACTAAAATTATTAAAATTTAGATTAGATTAAAAGGAAACTAAGTTAGATTAAAAATTAAAATGAAGTGAAAAATAGCAACAAAAAAATACTTTTAATGAAGGGAAAACTAGTAAATAAAAACTAAAAAAAAAATTAAAATATTAAATTACTTAAACTTTGTTTGAACATGAAAATACTTAAAAGCATTTTTTTTTGTTCATTTCAACCAAAACAACCAAAAAAATACAAATATACAAAATTGAAATAAATCAAAATAAAATACATTTTAATTTCAAAACATTTTTCTATGCAAAAACAAATGCAATTTTTTTTCTTTAAAAAATAACTGTGTTTGGTATTTTTTTTTCTTTGTTTTTTGATTTGAAATCGTTTGAAACAAAAAAATCTTTTGTAACAAATAAATTTTATACCCAATAATTCATTCAACAAGAATTTTTTATTTATGCGAAGGGATTTGAAGAAAAAAAAGTAACAGATGCGAACAGATAGAGATGCAGGGGTGCACAGAGACTTCATGGTGGCCAGAGTATATTATTAAAAAAATTTACTGGATGCCCCCATCATACCTCCACCAAATAAAAATAATAAGAAAAATAAAGCTATTTATTCTAGTATTCACAAAATATTTTAAAAATTCTGTATATAAGACGAATTTCACAATCAAACAATTAAACACAACAAAGAAAAAAAACATTTCTGAATTTGGTATCAAGTTTTTCTGACGTTATACCCAGACTTTACAAGCTTTTCTAATAGCAAAGTTGGAAGTTACAGCATCGCAATTCACTTTCTTCACAAGATCTGTTTCAATTAAAAGGATAAGATAGTCGTTTAGACAATCCTGTCCCATGGTAGCTCTTAGAGAGTTCTTGACGAGAGCTAACTTGCTAAAAGATCTCTCACCTTTAGCATTAGATATTGGCAAAGTAAGAAAGATACAAAGTTAGATGCATATATGGGAGAAATTTTCTTCAAATCCCTTTGCATAAATGCTATTCAGAAGATCTAAGGGCCGATCATTTGTCAGTAGATGGTGTCAAACAGATGAAAAGAGGCAGAACTCATCAATAAACTCGTCTTCACTAAGATCATTTGGATACAGAAGTATGAGATCTTTAACTTTAGTTTCTTGTCTATTTGTTAAGTCCAAATTGATGTCAGGTGTAGACCAGATGAAGGAAAATAATCTACACTGCAGTTTCAGAGCTTTAAATCTCTCTGTAATCTGATGGATGAAGGTATCTAATACAGAGTTGAATACTACGAGTTCAAATGCTTTTGATGCATCATTTTGATAATGAGACGCGTTGTTAGGTTCGTTGAGAAACGTTTTTATTTTCCTTCTTCTTTTTTCAACAAAATCAGTTTTGAAACCAAGTTTAGTAGCTACTTCTTTTGACTTGTTCAAGATGGCATCCCAGGAGGAACGAATTCGCATTAAATCTTCAATCAATCCCTCTATAAGTTTCATCTCGTCATCCAAGTGATGCTGCGGGATCGAAAAAGGATGCTAGCATTTTTCACAGCTGTCAAAGTTTTGAACCAGAAGGTAGTAAAAATGAAAAACTCAAAGGACTTTATCTACTTGAGAAGAGAACGTACTATATTAAAAACGTCAACATTGAGATCCATTTCTTTCAGTTTTGTAAACAATTTGATTATCTCTCTCGGTCTCTTTGAAAGTGGCTTTATAGATTCATTTTAAGGGGTCCATCTTGTTCATGAAGTTTGGTGTAAAGAAAGGCCAGCAAGATCCTGAAAAATTTTCCAGCGTGTGGGGTTTTTGCTGAAAATATTGTATAAAGGCTGGACATTTCCAAAGTATGATTTACCCAGAACAGATGGTTCCACAGTGTGAACCCTACATAAATTGAGGCTATGAGCGGTAGATAGACTTCTTGTGAATTCTTCTGTTTAATCAAGGCTTGAACGCCTTTATAGGTTTCATCCATAACTGAACCATTATCAAATCCTTGACCTTGACAATTTTTTTTGTCAAGTCCATTTTTATGTAGAACAGTAAGAATCAGATTGGCAATGTCGACTCCTGCTTTCCATTTCTTCTAGTTTTAAAAATTGGTACTGCTGCTCCCATTACCTTTCCTCACTAAGGCGAAAGAAACGAAAAAGGAAGCAGATCTGTTTACTGTGTGAACGTTCCGGTGTTCTGTCAGTTATGATAGTGTAGTAGATGGCCTGATGCATTTCTTTCACAGCAAACAAGCCTCAAGTTTCACCAATTTCCCACACTCTCCAATAAACTCATTTTGCGAACACCAAGATAAATAGTGGGTCTGTGTACGATTACCTTCTTTTTCTTTTTTAGCAACTGCTTTGAAGTGATCTGCAAGTGTCTTGTTGTGTTCAGCAACCAACTCTAAAGCGCCAAGAAAACTGCTGTTTCCATCCTGATAGACCTTGTGATTAGATCCTATTTATAGAATGTTAAATTTTAATTAATAAAAGGTAAAAAGAGACTGAAAAAGAGACTATAATAATTTTTAAAATTTTAAAATACCTCTGAATGCGAGATTTCTTGATGCAAGGAATAAGGTAACTTAAATGATGCAACGGAAAATATCTTTTCAGCGCCCAGTTTCGTTTGCAATAACTTTCTCCAGACTTAAATCAATCCTTATATGGTTGTGCATGTTGTTTAGTGCTGCTTTCCAATCTAAATACATTTAGCGATGGAGGCTACACGATTGATGAGACCTGATTTTTCCAACTAGTTTCCTCCAATTGTATTTGATACCACTTTAGAATAACAACAGCGACATGTTGTTCTTATGTGTGTCAGAAGGTGATCCAAAAAGAGAACAAGAGAAGCAGAAAAGGGCGGCTGCCGATTCATTCCATACAAGGCAGTCTCTTTTTAGTTTCTCTCCATTTTGTAAAACTTCGGTAAATACTGATGTTGGAAAGATGTGGTTCCTTGAATCCCTTGGAAGGTCTGCATGACTTAAAGGAGGGCCTATCAAAACCATGGTATCTCTTTCTTTATTTGATAAAACAGTTTAAAGAGCTGGGTCGTTAGATATGTGATTAGTTAAAATGGCTGGAGTAGAATCCATCTTGTCTATGCCATGGTCTTCACTATCCACTTCTTGAAATATTTATAAACTAAAATGAAAACATTAAACATCTTTTAAATAATAGAACTTTTTTTTTATTATAGAAGAATGTTATACCTGCAGGAATGTCATCTTTTTGATGAGGTTTGCTTGATAGTTCTTGGTAGCTTCAGTTAGCCTGACCTGGTCAGTTTCACTGTCGGTTACAGCATACATCTCTTGATCTTCATTTAAATGATTATCAGAAGAACTGACTAGGCTCTGGCATACAGAATGCACTGAACTAACACTCCAACTATCCTTATACAATAGTTGTGATTTGTAAGAGAGATGTGTTGGACCACTACTGCTTTCAGAATCAGATTCAACTCTTAAAGCCTATAAAAAGAAATATATTTGAATATATCACCAATGTATTATTAGACATTAAAAACAATCAAGCAGGAATGTTATCAGATTACTATACAAAATGATGAAAGGTCTACTTGAAGTTGGTGCTGAGACTCTTTTTTACTATTGTCAATTTTTACAACTAGCCTTTATCCAAGATCTTTAAGAGTTCGCTAGCTTTTTTCTTCAGCAACTTTTTTTACTCTCTTCTTTTTTCGTCCTGTTGCGCCTAATAACAGCTTCCGTCTGGTTGAAGAGTTGGTTGTAGACTGATTGCTTTTCATTTTATATTTAAAGCACAAACTATAGAACTATAGTTCTATTTATGTAGTATAATAATTGCTGTAGCAATTTCTACTTAAAAAATTCTCTTAGGAAAATAATAATTGCACCACAAATAATTCTCTTTTGACAATTATTTGTAAAACTCTCTTTGACAATCAATAATAAGTTGCAATAGTTGAGATTCATTATGCACGAGGAATTCTTGCATGAGGAATTCTCGCACGAATTGAATGAAATCCATAGCGTTAAACTTAACTTAGTTAAAAAAGTTGATAGGAGAAACTACGACCATTTAAAATTATATGATTAGTTGTAATAATTTATTAAATATACGGAAATAAAAGTTAAATAAAAAATAGTTAAAAAAGTTAAAAAAATGTTTTTACTATTCATTTTACTATTGTTCACGATAACGTTACGTGTAGTTTGTAGTTTTCTTGCATGGTTTGAAGAGCTATTCAGAGGGCATATCATAGAAAGAAAACACTGATTTCTGAAAGAAAGAAAAAACACGTGGTCTCTAAATAGAAAGTCATCTACTGTAAAAATGATCTTAGAAATCAGTAATCGGTTTAATCAGATTGAATCAAAACAAAATCAAAAATTTAAATATAATAACAAAGTAAACATTTTTCATTTCATTACAGGATGTTTTCAATTTTTTATTTGGCATACTATTAATTTTTTTTGTCATCTGATGATGCCCCCCATAAACGTGATGCCCGGGGTTAACTGACCCAGATCCCCCACCCTCTGTGCACCCTGTAGAGATGTTGCAAATAATTTTATTTTAAAACAAATAAACCATTGAAATACAGCCTAAAAGCACAAAAACTAAATACTTATCTAAAAGACAATTTATTTTTTATGACAGAAAAATTTTAACTTACTAAGTTTCTCAAAACATTTCAAAAAGTGAAACTTAATTTGAGTTTTACTTATATATTTTTGTTTTTGCTTAAACAGTTAGTTTGTACTTCAATTCTTACTATCAATCATGGTAAATATCATTTGTTGTTGGAGATATATGAACATCCTTGTTAAACAATTTATAACATCAAGGAGAACTTCTTTGATGGTTTGACAAACTAAAATTCAGTAAATAGGCCTTTCCATACATGCATTTTGTGCGCTACTAATTGCTCTCTCTTTTTCTTTCACCTCTTCTGCCCACACGCTAAACTTTTAGGCTCCTCGAACTGGAACTATAGCTTACAGTAAACCTTTCAAATAAATTAACTGATGTAAAGGAGGTACAGAGCCATATAGGGCTAAAATTTAAAACAAGAATTAAAAATAGGAATAATAATTCAACTTGAAGCAAAATAGATTTGTGGATACTGATAGATGTACTAAAAAGGATGTTCAATGTAAAAGACAACTTTGCACTTAATGCAGGTTTTAGCAGCTTTTTACGTTCTAGGCATGAAATTATAAACCTAAAAGTTTTTTTTTTATATATAAACGACTATACCATAACATTTCTAGAATTGAATTGCAGAAATTTTGAAAGCCTTCTAAACAACAATACTGTGACATTTGTATTGAGATGAGGTTGCATTTTGATTAATCTGACTACAAAAACATTTTCCCAATATAATATCAGTACTATTCAGTACATTTTTGCAAACTTTTTAAACTGCTATATAACCTTGCTCTATGATTGATGATCAAATTTTGATTACTTGGGTGTCACCTAGGGGGTGTCACTGTGATGTTGTGGTCTTTATAAACTTTTTAAGTTGCTGAAAACGGACTTTCACATAAATGATAATATTAAGATCAATTGCACTAGTAACCATTTTTTACCTCTATTGGAGATAAACACTCTTAATAAACTCTCTAGCAATGAGTCAGATCAGATCATGAATCTTAATGATTGATAACCATTATAAAATGGTTCATGATGGTTAATAGAACAAGTTACTTTATAAATCCAATGATTTAAATAAGCAATGAAAGGGAACTTTCTATTTTTAATGCCAAATTAGAAAAACCACATTACTTAAGATTATATTAGCAAAAATTTTTAATGTCAACAAAGAACATATTTACTCCTGTTTTAGTTTTTAATTTGGAAAAGGAAAAACTTTAAGATTACAAAAAAGTTTGCAGAATAAAATGTTTTTACTTTTCAGTATTTTTTTTTTCTTTTCCAATAGTTATTTTTACTTTTCCAAAATTGTAGTTTTTTAGATTTGTTCATTATTCTTTAAAAAAAATAATTCAAATAACAATCAACGGAAACAACTTTTTTTCATTTGAAAAAATGTACGAAAAGAAAAAAAAAAAACATAATTAAATATATTTTTAAACAAAAGATACATAATTCATAGTAACTTTTAGGTGAAAGTAGAGACGTTCGTAACTCTCCAAGCATGTTAGATGCATGCTTTAATGCATCCATGATTTTCGATTTGTCCTAAAGAAATAATTTAAGTTAACTGTTTTCTAAAAAACTATAAAATTTTGAAAATTACAAAAAAAATCAAGTAACCAAAGTAAGAAATAAGTTAATGGAATATACTTTAAACTTGAAAATATTCTCTACAACGGAGAGTTGAATAAAAAATCAATGTCAATTAAAAACACACACATACAAAACAAAAAACTGGTGACAAAGTTGGTGTTGCAAATATGAAAAAATACTAGGATATTTATTAATAATTAACTGTTTAACAACTTGTGTATAATACTTTCAACAATGGCTTTCAACAATTTATTTTTTTGATCTTTATCATAAAAGTGTCTGTTTTTAATGTTTTACTGATATAAAATTGAATTTAAATTTTAAAAGTTATTCTAATCTAGTCTAGAAAAAAAAATTTAAGTTATGTATACCAGACAGCGCTTCATTTGAAAAGCTTGAGTCTTTACAACTTGAAGTGCTTCCTCTAATAGCTTTTCCTGTTCTTCTTGAGGAGACATGTGTTGAACCGACTAAAATTTAAAAACAACATTAACCGCTTTTAAATATAAATTTAATATAGATAAATATTTCGAAAAAAGTAATATTTGCACAATTTTTTATCTTAGCAAGCTTTCGAATTAAATAGCTTGTTAGCTTACTGGCTAAAAGGTAAGCTAGCTAGCTCGCAAGATAAAAATACTTTAGACAATTATTCATTGATTTTATAGCACAATTTTGCTTTAATTTTGATTTAGATTGATAACTAATGAATAAAAAAAAAGGAAAAGGCTACATTTTTTTAATTTATAATAATAGGGAGGAAGATTGAAACAATAACTAAATAAATATATTTTTTTTATTAAATAGCATAACGGATGTGCGCAATAATAATAATAATAATAATAATAATAATAATAATAATAATAATAATAATATAAGTAGTTTATAACAAATGACTAAGTATTTGCAAGCAGGGCAACTAACGAAGCCCCGCTGTGATAAATGTCAGTTTTTTTTTTTTTTTTTTTGTTTTGTAAAAGTTCAGGAAAAAATAGGTCTAGTTTATTTTTAAAAGCATTGACCGATATGACAGATATTATGGAATTCAGAAGAAAGTTTCAGTCAGGTACAACACTGCTTGACGTTTAAGTCGATGACATTGCCCTCGGAGGCATTTTGCATGTCCCTGCACAATTAGTGCTGGAGCTAACTGATTTGGTCTACAGAGTTCAATTTTGTTAATGTCGTGGTACATCTTTAAGTATTGGATGAGGTCACCTCTCGAGGTCACCTCTCGCCATCTATCCTCTAGTGATTGAATATAAATATCTTTTTATTATTACAAAAAAAAAATTATATTAGAAAAAAAAAATAACACCTAGTTGGCTAGTAAAGATAAAATTTAGTGAAATTGCAATTTCATAAAATGTAATTTAAAGAGATGTTGGTTATACAACAACAAGTAAAAATGCATCTGGTAAAATTAGACTAAATGCCTCAATTAGTCAAAATTAGGCTCAATTTTGTAATCATTAAACCATGTAACATTCAATTTAGCTAGCAAAACAGACTAATTTAATAACAAACTAATTTAAGGACCTCTAAATAAGCAAAAGTTTGCAAAAAAACCTTGGTATTGACTCTTTGTTTGCTTCACCACCATTTGCCTCAAGATGTAAGTTTTTAAAACATTCATGTTTTAAAGAACATTTTCTAGAGAGTATCAAAATAATTTAGCCATGGACGATTTTTTTGTCTAAAATATTTGATCAAGTTCAGACTTGATAACAATAATTTTTTCAAAATATTCTTTATAAAATTTGAGGCCATGAAAATCATAGCTATATGTGTAAAAGTAAATTTTTTATAATTTTTATAATAGTTTTATTGTTTTTAAGAGATTATTGCTTAAAGCTTATTTAAAGCATTATTTAAAAGCTGCTTTATATCTGCTCTGCTGAACCTGTAATATATAACCTGCAATATCTATTAGAGTACCACAATAAACTCAATAGAAATTAATTCCAATTGAAGGAATTAAAATGAAACTTAGCACTTTGACGACAGGAAAATTAACTAGAAAGAAAACCAAATTGTATTATTCAATTAAAACTACAAAGTTCTTTTAACTCTTAACAATAGGAAATATTTAATAACTTAATGATAGGAAATATTTAATGGATGACTGAGGAATTAGATCAATCTTATGTATAATAAACAATATGTTTTACATCAAGTGTATTACTAGAGTATATAAATTGATTTGTTGAAATATTTCAATAGAAATGAAAACATTACTTTAATTCAGTATGTCAGGTTGAGCCTTGAGAGATTCAATGTATTGAATTTGTAATAAAAATTAATTATCTTCAAAAATAAAACTTTGTGCAAGAAGTCTGTAACAAATATGGCGATTTCTGAAATCTGTAACAACTATGAAGATTTATGAAGTCTATAGCAACTATGCTGATTTATGAAATGACTTTAACAAAATAAACAAACAGATGCAGAAATTAAATATAAGCATTATTTTACCCAATTATATGTTTAAATACTCACTTGTAATCCTAGTTATATGCAGTTTAAATACTAGCTTGTAATTACCTGTTCAAAAATTCTTTTTATAACCTTTAAATCATTACCTCACATGTAATGTAAGGGTGAGCTTTAGAACAATATATGCGCTGCACTTAGACATGCCTAGTAAGATTTGTGACATGATTGGTGTAGCCTGATTAGAAGTTCAACCATTTAAAAATAGTCACTGAAACAAACCTGTGACCATTATAAACAAAAAAAAAATTCTAAAAAACTGTTTAAAGAAATACAAGGAACATAAAATTTGAAAAAATAAGACACAGCAATTTAAAAACATCTAACATTTGTATCAAATGAGCAACTCAAAAAGCATGCTTAAATAATATGTAAAAGAAATAAGAAAATCATTTTAAAAGTTTATTCTAATAAACAAATGATTAATAGATTTAATCTATTAATCATTATTAAATTATTCAATAATTAACACTGAATCATGTTATGCATTGCATAATAAATGCATATGCATTGATTTACTTGCAAGTGTAACTTTATCTAATTGTACCATGTTAGAAAATTCTAAAGAGTTTTATAATATTTTTTTAGTAGAGGTTTTTTTTTATACCAAAATTAGTAAATTTTTTTTGGAATAACACTTTTATAATATTTAATGATATTATTTCACTATCTAGGTATAAAAGATATTTATTACAGCAATAATATTTTTATTTATTTTTGTTATTTTCTTCACTGTCTTCTTTTTAAAATGAAAAATGAAGCCTTCCCTTGGCTGAGGAGGTTAGCAGTAGTGGAGGCTACTCATATTTTTATTCATCCTCTCTTAAACATTTAACTCCTAAATGTTTTTCCTAAATGTGAGGCTTGACGAACAAGACTGGGTTGAGAAACAAGCTGAGCTTGGTATTAAAAGGGACGTGGAAGATAAAACTTGGAACTTACCAAGAAAAAATAAATCATTTATATAAAGCCCCCAATAAAATAGTGAATTAGGATAAAGGGAGCTCGTAAACATAGGATAATTTTCATTAGTACCTCTAGTTATGTCTTAGTTACCTCCTGATGGTAATACTCCAATGGTAGTATTACAATAAAAATACCCAGTGCTCATTTTTAAATCAAGCTAATGGCAGCATGAGCATCTTAAAAAAACCCTACTTTAACCCCAACATGTATTATTTCAATTTAAAAAAAGCATTATAGAAACTCGCCGAAACCACATAAGCATTGAAAAATGAACATTGAAAAAAAAAACAGCAGGGTGGTCATCATGATCCTGAACCTGACTTAAAAATCTATAATTTCTGTAACTCAAAGTATCATAAAGTTATTGTCTGATTTTGGGATTGCTTTTGTTTTAATTTATTTTATTAACTCTAATGAAATACCAGCTGTAATTAAAGTTGTGTCTGACTGAAAAGGCGCTTCCATAGTAGCTTTAACCAGAGTCAATTGTAATACAAAATTAGATATGGTTCTATACTTATTTTTGTACATTTTAATTGAACAGTAATATTAAAATCAAATTCTAACTCTAAAAATGCCTTTCAGGTATAAGCAACAAGCTGCTCCATCTGGTTTACTGGTCTGTCAGGTCAATTAAATGTATTACTTTTCTAAATTTGAATTTTATGTACTTTTCTTAACAATTGCCATTTTTTGTAGGGGATATTTTGAACAATTTTACAATTTTCTGACTTTTGTTATAATAGGTCCAATAATTTTGTTGTTTAACTGTAACTTCAGATATTTTATCACTTATAAATAACTCATTAGAATTTTGAACTGAAACTTACTCTTTAAACAAAGGTACTCACTAGTATAACCATCATCTTCATCATTATTGTTTTCCAAATTTAAAAAGCCTTTATTAAAATTTAAAATGTTCTCATGATCTAAAGGTTTATCAACTTACAAGTAACTGGCACCTTTTAATAAAAAACTGATATAACTGCTAGTTGTAGAGCATGCATAAAGCATAACTGTTGATAAATTTCCAGAATTTTTGCAATTTTCTTTATAATGTTTCTGTAAGACCAATAATATTGCCTTCAATTTTTATTTTAAAACTAAGAAAAAAGAATGAGAAGCTATAAAACAAACATATCAAAAACTAAATTTAATAAGCTATGATGAACAAAATAATTTCATTCTTTATATTCAATGCCATATGGGTTGTCTCAGTATATATTGCTTTTAATTATACAAAATATATACCCAGCCAGCAAGTCATATTGAGCCGCATGGGGCCCAAGTGGGCAACTTGAAATAAAATTGCCCACATGGGACCCAAGTGGGCAATTTTATGGGGCCCAAATGGGTTGCCCACATCCTGCCCAAGGAAAATTGTCACTGGGCGTGAATTGGGGTCCAAGTGGGCAGCCCATATGGGCTGCATATGTGGGACCCACATGGGTCCCACTTATTTATTTATTTAAATTTTTTATAATATTTTGAATAATTATTTATTTATAAATTAGATACATTTAATTTAATATGTAGTCATAAATATATGACTTAAGTCTAGCTTTATAGAAGTAAAACAGAATATTAAATATAGAAAGAAAACAGTAAATAGTAGTAGCCATTTATAAATATACCACAGTATTTAAGTAGAAAAATAGTAAAGGTAATAGTCAGATATAGTTAAATAAATTTAAACCAAAAGTTTTACTAAATCATCAACGTTAAATGATTCTCTTTAAGACGTGTCATTTTGTTTACATTTTTGCTTGTGGATTTATAAAAACTCAAATAGCGTATACACTTTCAAAAACTTTTTATACATAAAAAAAAAAAATTCTGTCTTTAAAAACTGAGAAATAATTTTCAAATACAATTTAAAACTCTTTTACTACCACTAATACATGACATTAATTGCATTATTATGGAGTTTTTTAAATGATTTGACTATAAATAAAAGAAACTTTTTCAAAAAAGATTATTTTTTGTTCATGGACCAAGTCTTTAAATAAAC